CAAAAGTTGTGTTCATTTGAATGAAAGGAAATTCAAATGCAATGAAGAAAAATGTGACAAAAATTTCACGACAAAACACAATCTAATTCAACACAAACGCATACATTCGGGAGAAAAACCATTTATTTGTCATTTCAATGATTGTAACAAAACATTTTCTACAAAATATGATGTAAAAGTACATATGAGAAGACATGATTATAAACAGCAATAAACTTAAGCATAATTACTGTAATCAACAGCTTTAACAATAAGTGATTTAAAAACACATAATAAGAGTGAACATAACTTTAAATAATATTTATTACTCTTTATAGAGTTTAGTAATTTTAGCACATTTTTATTTAATATTAAATTCAATTAATTTTTATTAATTTCATTTATTATGTATAATTTTCACTTTATAAAAAATATTTTTTAAAAGTAATTGTAATATTCATTCCATAATCCATCGCATGTTTTCGCAAACGGATTGTCCAACAGTTGTAATAATTTGTTTGGATTTAATTCAATTATTTTTGGCATCAAATTTTTATTATCGATAAATTTAGGCCATTTAGGGTTCGGTCGGCTATTATTAGACAAAATTACAAAATTAAACAAAATATAATAAATTTTAATGTTATGAAAATCTAACCCATATTTAGCGAAATCTGTCCACAATTTCATGACTTGAAGACTGAATTGTGTATCAATTGCTGAGTCAGTGATTGTCGGATACAAAAGCGGTGCACCGAATACATAGTCAACGTCCGCCTGATGTGTCACTCCATAGAGTTTTTCATCTAAAAATGATTTGCGTTGATATGTCTGCTCATAGAAATACACACCACCCGCGCCTCCCAACTGGGCGTACGCTTTGGCGAACCTATAGGTCGGACATGTGATGCATACGTCCCCAAACATGTCATATTCAGCCCATAGAATAGCATCGGAATTGTTTATTTGTTTTTGTTTAGATTGTTTAACAATATATTGTTTCAAATAAAACTCTTCGACACGTTTTATATCAAAATTATGGTAAATCGTGTCAACCAATGCCACAAACTCTTGATAATCTTTTAAGGTTTGATTTGGTTTTATTAGTGTATTTATTAACGATGTACCCTCATTCCTCATAACACCAACCATGATGTCCATATCTTTAAAACATGTTAAATAAACTTGTATTATTTATTAATTTATTATTTAATTAAAAATGAATTATGATCATAATGTAAATGCAATTTAAACTATTATATATTGCAAACATAATGTTAATTTTTTACTGTAAATCATTTGTGAAGTTTATAGGAAATACATACCTTTGTTAAATGAATCTAGTTTGAATGCTTTCTGAGCGGGCAGTGGTAACAATTCAGTGTCCAATAGTGGGTATACCTGAACGTCTGTGTCGTACCCTTTGATCAACGCCTGGGCGTCGATACCACGCAAACAGTCCAACCATTTCTGTCCGTCCGTACAGTTCATGCTTTTGGCAAATTGTTTGGCGAAAGTCAAGGCCTCGGCTTTGCTCATAGGATCTCTACTATTGTAATAATGGGCGCCGCTCTCCATAA